CAAACAAGTCAAGTGTCTGGAAGAAGTTTATTGGCTCTTTAATTGAAAAGAGACTTGTAACTGAACCTTTAGTAAGCAACATCCTATTTCTTTCTGTTATTATTCTTTTATGTATAAAGGCAACTGTAGCTGATGTAAAGTATCAGATCAAGCCATTATCTGAGGAAGTGAAAGGATTGCAGAGTTCAGTGGATCAATTGTTGTCTATTGTTAGAAGCATGAGGGATGAGAGAGGAGGAGGAGAGATAGAAAGAGGAAGAGCTGGAGCAAGTGAAGAAGCAGGAAATGAAAGAGAAAGAGACAATGGAGAAGAACAAAGAGAAGTCTCTAGCTAAAGAAGATGATGAGTTATAAAATTTAGCTTTGACATAGAAATTAGCTATATATATTTTAATATATTATTTGAGATTGAGTTCCTAAGAAATAATTATGTAATGATTAATGGTGGGACGGTGCATTTATATCATGACACCAAGAGTTTGATGACGCCACTGGCTTTAGAAGCTACAATCATAGTATCTATGCTACAATGAGTGCTACTGTGGCTATGCCTCGTTTTTGAATTTGCTGGTCTGCAGATTGCGTGATTTTGCCTTCACCGCCTTTACCTCTCCTTTTAATTTGTTTTACATACTTAAACTAGATTCAAATGGCTTCAAAACCATCACATTTCCCATTAGGTGAGTCAGATCATTTATAACACACTGATATACATATTTTGTGTACAGATATTAGCAAGTTAAACTTTGTTTTACAAGTCTTGAGGCATTACAAGTTTCCTGAAGCAAGATGGTTTGCATTTGGATTGAATCTTGGTGTGCTTCATCCTACACTGGAAGCTATTGAGTCAGCTCATAGAGGGAATCCTTCACGCTGCCTGATGGAGTGTTTAACCAAGTGGTTGACTAAAGCTGATGATAATGTCACCACTGTTGGTCCTATTATCTCGAAGACACTGGCTAATGCACTCTGTGGAATGAACGCAACATCCATCTCTACTGATATTCACAAAACAAGTAATAATGTTATTATTGTTATACTTTGTTTATATAGTTATTAGTGGCAGATCACTGTCAAACTTGAGATCAAGAAAGAGCATACTAGTGGATGGTGGCTAACAAGATCATTAGATACTGATCAAGAGGGATTTGTTTATATTGATGATATTAAAAAAGATGAAGAGAGTGAACTGTCAACATTGGAATCACTTGAACTATTTCATTATGCAATGACAGAAAATGTTGACATACATGTACCTAAAATCAATGAAATTAAGACGAGGAGCAATGTTGAGAGAGCAAGTCTCTTTTTATCATCAATAAAACAAGATTCAGTTCTGCTAGATCAACTTAAAAACAAAGAACATGGTAAGATATATTTATATGTACTAATAATCTACAGAGTATTTTGAGGGCATTGAGTATATCAGGAATTTTTATACTTTTTTTGAAAATCAATCAAAATTAAAAATATGCATACAAATTATGTATTTCAGTGTATCAATTTTTTGGAAAATGCAAGATTTTGTACAAATTAGTATGCATGTTACAGCATGTAGATAATTAAACTTGATAATAATAGTAGTTAATTCATTTTATTACAATTGTTTATGTATTTAGGGAAACAGAAAGCAATTAGATGGTATGATGATGGTGTTCAACTGACCTCTCCATCTTTAATACAATGTCAAGAAGTAGTTTCTCTATTAACATACAAACATACGAACATTGTCATCATCAAATCATCTCCTGATGTTGTGTGTGATCTGTTGCCAGTTTTATTACAAAATGAAAAGGTGAAATACTTGAAAATACAAAACACTCAACTAACACAGGACTGCATCTCTTCCTTATGTAACTTACTGGCTAATAATAAATCATTAGTAGATTTATACCTTACTAACTGTTCCATTGATGACAAAGCAGTTGCTGATATTACAGACGTACTACAAACACACAATAACACAATTTTAGGATTAACCTTCCTGCATAATCCTCGTATTACTTCTATTAGTGCTCAGTCTTTTTCTGAACTAATTATCAAAAATTCCACATTAAATGAATTGCAAGTAAGAGGCACTTCAATATCATCTGATGGAATATTGCTAATTCTTCAATCGTTAACAATAATAATAAAAATATAAAGCTCCTTCTAGATCCAAAACACAAAGACACATGCACAAAATTCCATGACTATAATATGTGACCATAATTGACAAAAGGTACCTTATGGCGGATTTTTTAATTCATTATTATTATGAAAAATGTCAACCTGTGAGTGCTTTGATAGTCAACCATTGTCTCTAAAAGTCACATAGTAACTTTTTGCATCCTCTGAAGTAATTTTATGACAAATGGAGCTTAGGAAGTTGGATTTTTAGAGCTATAAAGACCAATTTTCCTATCTGCCATAAGGTACCTTTTGTCAATTATAGTCACATATATTAAAAGATAGATTAATATTTTATGATTGATTAATAATTGTAATTTGCTTTTCATTGATGATGCTGACTAATTTTAACAAAGTGATATATGATGAATACGTAACATAATAAAGAAGCCTCACCTAATATATTTCTTGCCTATCTCATTACTTTTGGATATTTCAATAATAATAATGATATTAGTACATACAAAAATTTAATAATAATGATACTAATACATATCGTTCATCCATTTTAACAAAATAAATTATTATTGCAATCAAAGACAATTAAAATAAAATAGAAGAGAATAGTACAACCAGCTTATTGGGCAAGCAGTACATGTGTCAGTTGTTATTAAAATAATAATAATAATAATAATAATAATAATAATCATTAATTTATTATCTTGTAATAACTGGACTATTATGATGGTCCTTTGTCCCCTTCCCCTCCTCCACAGCATCCTCCCTTAGCACGTGGTGTATCAGTCTGTCTTAAGAGAGAGGCACCAGCTGGTAAAAACAATCTGGTGGTAACTTACGAGCTATGAGACAAGAGAGAGAGATTATGTTACAATAGTACATACTACAGTACATCATTAGTAGCTACTCACTTATTTCAATGAACATTTCCTCAGCATTCCTAGCAGTGAGGGCACTAGTCTCTCCAAATATGGCATTAACTTCTGATGCATAAGTCTGACCTTGTTCAGCTGGAATCTGAGAGGAGAGGAGAAGAGAGGAGGGAGAGAAAGGAGAGGAGATAAAAGGAGAGTGTAGTAATCAATTTGTAATCAATTTGTATTCAA